CTCTTGATTATCATGGTCAGTGGCAGAAGTTTATATATCTCTCACAGTTTGGGCTCTTTTTACTGTTAATTTTCTATTTTCCACCCATTTTAGTTCATAAATGTGACCATTAACACTGAAGCAGCAAAGAAAAATTAGGAACAAAATTACAAAGTGCAGAAATTGCTCCATTCTAAATGCAGAGACCTTGATACTTTTTTTTTCTTCGGCCATTTGTTCTAATCTGAAACTAAAGCAATACAATTATTTTTAGTCACATAAACATAAAGCCTGTTTGTCCTGTGACTTGCCTGCATATCCCACTTTCTTTATAAACGACATCTCCATGTATGTATTCTGCCACAACTTTGATGGAGTCAAGACTTGCAATCATCTCAATTTGTCAAATGACAAAAATAGTATCATAAAGCTAATCTTAATCAAATATCCTATGCTTGTTTCATATCCCATACTCATGTTTAGTGGGCATTTCAATGAGCTACAAGACAAGTAATCACTTTTTATATTTTCTCTTTTTACAATAGTAGAGTTTAGTTTTAGTTTTCACATTGGAAGCCACTATCAGCACAAATCTAAATTTAATAATGATAATTATGTGGGAAAGATATGTGTGTGTGTGTGTGTGTGTGTGTATAGCAATTATATGACAAGGCAATAAACACAAAGATATACTGAAAGAACAAGGCAATGAAGGGAAAATGAGGCAGATATGCAATAGAACTGTAGAAAACATACACATTAAAACAATGGAAAACTGCTAAACAGCCTCCTGTGTCACATAATTCAGTAATTCTAAGAAAATAAAGATGTAGTAGAAAAAGTAAGAAAACTTATCAGAAAACCAATACTAACTACTACAGAAAAGTTATACTCAAAATATATCTCTCAATACAGTGATCACACTTCATCTTATCAACTAAATCAAATCCCAGAAGAGATCATATGGAAAGGGTCTTTTAAGCTGCGTTTTGTTTCATTCATTCCCTTGGGCTCAGCCTTCAAGTAGACTTCTGGGGCTATTTTAGAGGAAGAGATCAACTCATTCTGAGAATCAAGAGCAGTGCAGGGCTGTGTCACAGGTGTTGCTAAATTTTTATCTGCTGCTTTTACAGACACTTGCTCTTTCAGGACTTCCACCTTCTCACTGAGTTCATTTCTTTCCATTTGAAGTGCTCTAAACAGCTTCTCTAATCGTTCCAGTTTCATCTGAGAGGACCTGTACTCTTTATCACGAATAGTTTTCTAAAAGAGAAATAAAAAGAATTAATGTAACTTTGTATATGTAAACACAAATTAGGTTACTATACATGAAAAGTACTCTGAGCCATATTGGAAACTACTTTTTATTATTACTTCTTGAACCTCACTGTATACTGGCATTTAAATTATTTACAATTATTTTGGAGCAAAACAAAAAAATTAAAATCTCTTTGTTCTAATTCTTTAACGTAACCCAAACTTCTTGACTTTTAAGTCAAGTATTAAGTTGACCTGATGAAGTATTAAGGAAAATCAGGATCTTAATTTACAGTACCAGAAATAATACATTTAAGTTTTCATTTCTACATTGATTATTCTTCTTACACCATTTTTAGGACCCTAATGCTTTCTCTTGTGATATGTTACAAACTGGTCTTATAGAGTTTATAAAAGAAACATAGTAAATCCCCATGGAATATATTTCAGCTTTATTTACAACAAATCTGAGAAAAAGTAGTTTATTGCCTTTTAAAAGAATAAGTTATAGTAGAAAAGCAACTGAGTTAACAAGTCTATGCTTTCTCCACAGTTTCATAGGAAATCTGAATCAAGAGGCAACTATTTCAGGAAAGTAAACAAATTTGCAATTATTTCAGTGAACTAAATGAGTGTTCACCATTTGGTCGTGTAAAAACTGCTCACCTCTTCAGCCATTTGTAGAAGTGCTTTATTATTACTTTCCCATTTGGTACGCCATATTAGCATTTCTTTTTCCAGTTTTTTAATTTTCTTTGTCATCTGTGAATGAACACAATCGCAAATTTAATTTCTAAGTTGTGTTCTCTGACAATCCCCAGAAACATTTTATAATGTCCCTCCCCTCCCTCATCACTGTATTTGCCTCAACTAATAGTACATTATATGTTTATAAAAGTACCTGTGCCTGTCAGCAGAGCTAACAGAAACATTTATCATGGTGGCAGCAGGAACCAAAGTGGAGAGTTTCATATCATAAGAAAAACAAATCTGATCTCAATTTCAGAGGAAGTAGCAAATGGAAGCTTCAGATAACTACACTCTGAACTCTTAGTTAAGGATGCAAAGCAATTCATTCTAACTAAAAGAAACAAAAGACAAGATTTCTTTCTCCAAGTTGTATGGGAAAAATATATATGTCTATGTGCTCAAATTTTCTGGAGAGTACATTAAACTAATTCTTCAGATTCTTGGAAGGATGGAAATTCTCAGCCCCAAAGAGATTAGGAATTTAAAACAACATGAGTATCAGAAATATTTAGGGTAATTTAGGTAAATGACCAGGAAAATGATACTAAAATTATTAAATTCTTAGCTTTAGTCGTCCTCACAACTTATAAGACTATAGTATTTCATATTTTGTTCAAGTGTGTACAAAAATAAGGGCAATGTGTTCTTAAACCAATAGTAAAAGATAAGGGCAATGTGTTCTTAAACCAATAGTACAAGATCACAATTTTCAGAAGTTCAGAATAAGATTAAGCTATGCCTTTCAATCAGTCATATTTGCAATGTTCGTATATTGTTAATCTCCCTATCAGCTTCTGTCTCAAGCAGGATACTGAGTCAGGCACTGTTAAAAGAAACATGGATAAGACAAAACCAATACCTGATGCCAAACGTAATTATCCACATAACTATACCACAATGCAGATGGGGAAAAAGGCCTTGAGAAGAGTGCATGAAAGATCTGAGTTCAGGGCTGACCTACAGGGACTCCTATTAACTACTAGCAAAGAGAAATGTGTTTCAGTCCAGATAATTCTCCAGGAGTACAAAATAGGGAGCACCTCTCTTAAAATTGTGTGAGCTACAGTCCTCTCAACACATCTACTATACATAACAGTTCCCCTTCAACTGGACTCTCAACTGAAAGGAGTGGCCAGCAGAACTAATCTGCTCAGGTGCACTGAGTTATCTCTACATGACTGGGTATAAAAGTGTCTGAGCACTTAGACTACTTAACATGGCCAAGCACTGTTAAAATACAGCAGACGCTTTTTTTTATTCCCATTTAACAATGAAGGAACAAAACTAAAAAGTTAAATAACTTCTCAATGGTCTATAATAAATGATGCAAGAAGTTATAAATCCTGACTACTGAGCATGTACTCTCAACCACTATATACGATCTGATAATAGTGACAACAAATATCTATTAACTTCTTATAAAACATCAGATCCTACTGTTACTTATCCTCAATAACAATTTTTTAATATCCCAACTTTAAAGGAGATATGCCAAAGTAAATACCTACCCAACAGAAGTTACAAAATGCAATAAAGTATCTAAGTACCAGAGCCTGCAGTCCAAAGCAAAAATCTCTCTTGTTTATTTCAGGACAGAGGTAGATAACTATATGTTAAAATTTTCTTTCAGCCCATATTCTAAACTGAAATGATGCAAATATTTTTCTGGATGTCAGTAATAGTTTTTTAGTTTTATAAGGATGTCCTTCTGTGTTATTACAAATATCAAACATAAAGAATACAAATACTTTAGGCCATTAGCTAGATGATCAGAAATCATCTATTTCAACCAAAATATATTTTTGCTTTCCTTGGTCTGAAACTTTAGAAAATAATTTACACGTACTTTCTGAAAAAATGGAGAAAGCTCATTAACACTGATTTTTTAAAAAATCTATTTTTAAGAGCAAATTGTCTTTTCTTTTACTGGGGTGACATTAAGTAATAAAATTACACAGCTTTCAAGTGTACAATTCAGTAATATGTCATATGTGTACTGCATGTGTGTTCACTACTCCAAGTCAAATCTTCCTTCCTTCATGTATTTGACCACTTTTACCATTATCTACTTCTCCAACCCCTTTGCCTCTGGTGACCACTAAACTGTTTGTTGTCAGTGTCTATGAGTCTGTTTGTCTTGTCTGCTTGTTGCTTTCTGTTTTATATCCCACAAGAGTGAAATGATATAGTTCTCAACTTTCTTTCACTTATTTTGCTTAGCATGATAATCTCAAGACCCATCTGTGTTGTCACATATGGCAATATTTCATTTTCTCTTAGCGCTAATATTCTGTTCTTTGTATCTTCTTTATCCAATTGTCTGTTAAGGGCACTTCAGGCACATCCATGTTTTGGCCATCATGAATAATGCTGCTATGAACATTGGGATGCACATAGCTTTATGAATAAGTTTAAAAAAAAAAAAAAAAGAGGTGCTGTTGGATCATGCACTAATTCTTGGTCTGAGGAACCTCTATACAGTCTGTGGCTATACCAATTTGCATTAGCACCGGTAGTGTATGAGAGAGTTCCTTTTTCCCCACAACCTCCACACTTATTCCTTGAGCATACTTATTCTAACAGGTGTGGGGTAGAATTGCACTGTGGTTTTGATTTACATTTCACTAATAACTAATGAAGTTGAGTACCTTTTCATGTTTTTAGGCCACTTGGGAGAAGTGTCTGTTCAAGTCTTCTGCCCATTTTTTGAGTTGTTTTACTGTTGATTTCTTTATATATTTTGGATATTGGGCCTTTATTGGAGACGTCTGCCAATATCTTCTTCCATTCAGCTAATTGCCTGTTTTGTTGATGGTTTATTTTGCTGTGCAGAGCTTTGTGTTTGATGTAGCCCATTCATTTATTTTAGCTTTTACTTCCCTTGCCTTAGAAGTCGAATTCATAAAACCCTCTCTAACACAAAGGCACATGAGTTTAGTTCCTATGTTTTCTTTTTGCAACTTATTGTTTCACATCTTGCAATCAGATCTTTGATCCATTTTGGGTTAATTTGATGTATACTGACAGACACCAATCTAGTTTCATTCTTTTGCAGGTGGCTTTCCAGTTTTACCAGCACCATTTATTAAAGAGGCTTTCTTTTCTCCATTGTGTATTTGTGGTTCTTTTGTCTTATTTGCTTGTTTTATTTGCTCATATATACAAGGGTGTATTTCTGGGCTCTCAATTCTGTTCCACTGGTCTGTGGGTCTGTTTTTCTGCCAATACCATACCCTTTTGATTACTGTCGCTTTGTAGTATAATTTGAAGTCAGGTCATGTGTTAACTTCAGCCTTGTTCTTTTTTCTTAGATTGCTTAAGCTATTTGGTATCTTTTGTGCTTCCTTACAAATCTGATGACTTTTTGTTCTATTTAAAAAATGCTACTGGGATTTTGATGGGGATTGCATGAAATCTGTATATGGCTTTGGGTAATATGGACATTTAACTATGTTGATTCCTCCAATCCATGAACACGGAATATCTTTCCATTCCTTTGAGTCTACTTTGAATAATGTCTTGGTTTTTAGTGTGTACATCTTTCACATGGCTTTGTTAAGTTTATTCCTAGGTATTTTACTCTTTTTGTTGCAATTGCAAAAGAAATTATTTTATTCATTTTCTGAAATTTCATTTAATATAAAGGAATGCAATGGATTTTTGTACTTAGAACTTATGTAATGAAATTTTGTTTCTAAAGGTTAAGAGGAGTCTTCAGGGGTTCCTATAGAGAACCATGTCTGCAAAAAATGACTATTTGACTTTTTTGTTCCCTATTTGGATGTCTTGTCTTTCTTTCTCATGCCTGATTGCTCTAGCTATGGCTTTTAATACAATATTGAATGAGAGAGGTGAGTACAGATAACCCTGTTATGTTCCTGATCTTTAAAGGAAAGCGTTTTTAGTTTTTCACCATTAAATATGATGTTAACAGAATATGTTGTATATAGTCATTATTATGTTGAATTACTTCCTTTTATACCCATCTTATTGTTTTAGTCATAAATGGATGCTGTATCTTATGTAATTCTTCTGTACCTACGATTCTTATTCTTTGTATATATAGTATATCATGTTGATCGATTTGTGTATGTTAAACCATCCCAGTACCCCTTATATGAAGCCCACTTGAACATGTATAATCTTTTCATTGTATTGTTGTATTTGATTTGCTAGAATTTTTAGGATTTTTGCACATGTATTCGTCAGAGATATTGGTCTAGTTTTCTTTTTTCATGTTATCTTTACATTTGGGTTAATGAAATGAGTTGCAAACAATTGCCTCTTTTTTAATTTTTTGGAAAATTTTAAAAGGAACAGGTATTAAATCATCTTTGAATATCTTGTAAAATTCACTAGTGAAGCCACTGGGTCTTGGACTTTTATTTATTGGGGTTTTTTTGAATATTGTTTCAATTTCCTTTCTGTTAATTGATCTGGTTAGATTTTCCAGTTATGATTCTGTCTAAAAAAGCTTATATCTTTCTAAGAACTTGCCCATTTCATCTAGAATACTGAATTTATGCATAATATTGCATAGAATTCTTATGTGATCTTTTATATCTCTGTAGTGTCTTTTTCCTCTTTCACTTCTGATTTTATTGTATCTTACCTCTTTTTTCCTTATTGAGTCTTCCTGGGGTTGGTCAATTTCTTGTATCTTTTCCAAAAATCAGCTCTTTGTTAATTTTTTTCAATGGTCTTTCTTAATTTTATTTAATATTGCTCTAATTTTTATTATTTCCTTACTCTGACTTTTTGTTTCATTTGCTCCTCTTATTGTAGTTTTTTAAGATGTAATGTTAGTTGTTTATTTGGGAGCTTTGTTTTTTGAGCTAGACCTGTTATATGAACTTTCCTCTTAGTAGTACTTTTGATGTGTCCCCAGTTTTTAAAATGTTTGTTCATTCTTGTTTGTATCTCTTGATCTCTCCTTCTACTTCTCTGACCCAGTCATTCTTTAGTAACATGTTGTTTAATCTCCATATATTTGTCACTTTTCTGGCTTTTTTTTACAATTGACCTCCAGTTTCAAATCATTTGGATCAGAGGATATGCTGGCATGATTTCAATCTTCTTAAATTTATTGAGGTTAGCTTTGTGTCCCATATTTGGTCTATCCTTGAGAATGTTCCAAGTGCAAGAAAGTATAATCTGAATATTTAGTATTAAAGGTTCTGTAAATGACAATTATGATCTAATGTGTCAATTAAGTCAGATGTTTATTTTCTTTTTAGATGATCTATCGATAGCTGAAAGTGGGCTATTTAGGTAGGTCCCTACTGTAATTGTGTGTCAGTTTCTCTACTTTTTTTAGTAGTTGCTTCCTATATTTTGGTGGTCCTTGATTGGGAGCATATTAATTGATGTGTTCTATCTTCTTGATTTATTGTCTCCTTTATCAGTATAAAGTGCCCATCATTGTCTCTCATTACTTTTCTTATCTTGAAGTCTATTTTGTCAGTGCAGCGCAACTATACTGCTTTTCTCTGGATGCCTTTTTCTTGATGTATCATTGTCCAACCTTTCACTTTGAGTCCATATTTTTCCTTGTAGCTGAGAAATGTCTCTTGAAAGTTGGGTTTTGTGTTTTGATCCAATCTGCTACTCTGCTACTTTTATTGGTGAGTTCAGTTTAGGGTGATTACAGATAAATGAGGACTTTATATAGACTTTTTATCTTTTGTTCTGCGGTAGCTCTGTTTATCATTTCTTTGCTCTTGTGATTGTTATTTTATAGTTTTGTTCTATTCCACTTTTTCCTCTGTTTCCTCTTTTTATTTATTGTCTCAGTTTATGGGTTTTTTGTGTGTGTGGTTACCATTAATTTTATGTAAAAGAAAGTTTTACATATTTCTTTTGCATGTGTCTTATGTTCTTTCCCCTTAGCAGATTCAGACCTTTACTCCCACTTCTCTTCTGTTTTTGCTGTCTCACATTATCCCTATTTATGCCATGAGTTCATTTTTAATTTGCAGTAGTTATTTTCTTCTTTTTAAAATGTTTTAACCTTTAACTAGCATGTAATATTAGAGTACTTAATATGTTTTTCTGAATAAGGTTTGCAATTCCATTTCTGTTTGTTAGTCATCTTACTCATAGTGGTGTATCTTTGTCTTTTTGTTTCAGATAGAATGACCCCCTTCAATATTTCCTATACTACAGGCCTTGTGATAGAAAATTTCCTCAGCTTCTGTATATCTGAAATGGTCTTTATTTTTCCTTCATATCTAAAGGAAAACTTTGCTGGATCTACCAGCTTGGCTGGTAATGTCTTTTGAAATAGTTTGAATATTGGATTCCCTTCCCTTCTAGCTTGTGAAGTTTCTACTCACAGTCTAATAATCTTACGGGATTTCCTTTAAGTTGTCTTTTCCCTGGCTGCTCTGAACATTATTTGTCATTAATTTTGACACTTTTACTATAATATGTCTTGGAATAGATATTTTTGGGTTGAGATACTTAGGTGTCTGTTTGCTCATTGGATTGAAGGACATTCTGTAGGTTTAGGAAATTCTCATTGACTATTTGTACAAGCTCTCTGTTCCCTTCTCCCTGTCTTCCCCTTCTGCTACATCTATTATCTCATATTGCTATTTCTGATGAAATCAAATAGTTCTTAAGAGAATTTTCATTTTTTTTCACTCGCAAGTCTTACTCTTCTTCCATCTGCATCATTTCCAGATTTTTGTCAGTATCACTTATTCTTTCCTCCATCTGGTCAGTTCTATTTCCTAAGCTTGCTGTTTCATTCTTTATCTCTTTTGAATTCTTCAGCTCCATAAGTTCTATTTGGTTCTTTTTTAAAGTTTCAATTTCATTGTTCAAGTATTACTTTTGTTTATTTCTGAATTCATTAAACTGTTTATCTAAGTTTTCTTCTGTCTTGTTGACTTTTGGCAGAACTGCAATCTTGAATTCTGTCATTTAAATCACATATTTCCATGTCTTTATTTTCCAGAGATATTTCTTATTTTTTCTCAGCTGTCCTTTACCTTGGTTGTGCATGGTATTTGATGGATTATTTAGCATCCTAAGCACTTACAGGAGTAAAATCTTTTTTTTTTAAACTTTTATCATTATGGTAGTGGTATCACTTCAGCAAGTTGATAAGTAGAAATTCTTTTGTTTTCCAGTAGGTAGTATACATAATTCTTGCACTGCCCAAGCCCCCTGGATATCTATTTGTGGGAAGAAAATGCTCTTTATTCCCTAGGAAGGTGTGTGGCTCTGCTACATGCAAGTCACCTTGATCCTAGGGCTCTACACCTATGAGAGAATGTGGCAAGCAATGGGGTTCTGAGCCCCTGGAATCCCAGTGCTCCCCCTGCAACCAGATGCAGTGTTGTGCTGCCCAAAGTGTCCCAGGTGGCCCCACCGGGTTCAGCTGTGATGGGTGGGGGTGGAGTGAGGTGGGAGAGGTTGTTGGTGTGTTTGTGGCTTTGTTCTCCTCCCAGTAATGATGACCTCACCTGCCTCACTTGTGTTATCTCCACTCCTGAAACTGGATTTAGCTGGAGTGTGTGTCTGCCACTTAGGAACAGTGTCTAGTTCTCAAGGCCGTAGATATTCTGTTCTGTAGCCCAACATTCATTGCTAGTTTCTTCTGGGGTCTGATGCTAGCTCTAGGAAGGTTTGGGGAAGGCGTCTCCTGGAAGGTGGAGGATAGAGTCCAAGCTTCATGGCAAGTTTTTAACTGGTTGTGGAGGCTGCTAGAATATAGCTTTACACCTTTGTATGTATTCCATCTTTGCCCTGGTCTCAGCCCTGAACACTGGGCTCCACCACAGTACATGCTGATCACTCAGGCTGGAAAGCTTGGGGCTATAAACAGTGCGTGCAGCGCCCTGATTCCCACCCTCTACCCAAGTACCAAGAGAGCTCTATGCTATGTTTGGGTTTTCTGTCTCCTCTATTCTCTTCTTCCTTTCTTTCTTCCCTGTTCACCCCAATTTTCCCACTTCAGACATACTGATGGGCATATTCTTCAGCCATGTTCATGTGCTAGACTAGGTGTTTTCTGTTGGACTGTAAGTGTTCAATTTGTTGTAATTTCAAGGGGAGAGATAAAGAGGACCCTTAACACTGTCATGCTTCTGATTTCACTCTCAACAAACTTTCTTTAATAGAAAAATTCTCTAACAATGTTAGAATTAAAATTTTGAGAGTATCAATCATTAGCAACTCAGGGTCAATTCAGGACATAATGCCTGAATATGACAGTGGAGCATCAGAAAAGATAAAGTTAAGATTGTATCAGATCAATATAAACTCATTCAAATGGTAATTGTGCTTAAAATAATCAATATTAATTTAATAATAATATTCTACTTTAAATACCTTTTCCATTTCCTGCTTGAAGGTTGTAAAGAGTTCATTGCTTTTTGCCATGGTAGTCTGGAATTCTTCAAACTTATCCATATAAAGAGAAAGCTACAGAAAAAAATATATATATATTCTGAGATCCAGACAAATGATTTCAAATCCAAAAGACTTTCTAAAGAACATCACGCAGCTAAAATGTCAGTGACTTGTTATATACAATAAAAATAAAAACAAATGTATACTAAATTTTTGAACAGGCAGTACGATGGGTGAGATTTTTATAATCCACTGAAATGCACTGAATTTATGAAATTTTGTTGGTTTAATCTAAATGTAAATACTAAAATATACAAATACTTATTAGCTCCATTCCATTCATTATAATAAAACAGTGAGGTAGTAGTTATAAATTTCATATAACCATATTCTTTATGCACCACTCCCTCTCCTTGCATTTGAAAAATTGTTCTTGAAAAAAGATCATTCTTTTAAGAGTACTACTGTGTGTGCATAGTTCTTAGCTTTATATCAAGGTAATCTCTTTCCTTAATGTAGAATGGAAATAAAACAGAAGCCAAAAAATGGTTTGGTTGAAAGAGAAAGAATTTAGTGGGAGTATAGCTAAGAAAAAGCTAAAAGAGAAACACCAAAATTTTTTTAAACCCCAGCCCTCGAGTGATGTTTATTCTAGCTGGAAAAATAATGCTATGTGAATATAGAATGCAGAGTCATGTTTTCCCTCCCCCTTAGAAAAGGAGCTAGTTGGGCAACAGGGGGAATGGGAGGAATATGCCTGCAGTGGCCAGAAAAGCAAGCTTTATGTGGATTAGCCCTAAGCTATTCTTCAAGGGTGGGCTAAATTATTTTACTTTCTCTTAGGAGGGAAACCTTTGAGATGACCTAATTAATCTATTATCTTCCAGATGAAGAAACAGAGGCCCCCAAAGATACATTATTAGACACACTGCAATACCCCAGTGGATGATGAAACCATAGATAGTACTGAACCATATATATACTATGTGTGTTTTTCCTATACGTACATACCATTGATAGTTTAATTTTTGAACTAGGCACAGTAACATATTAACAGCAATAATAATAAAGAACAATATTATATAATAATATACTATAGTAAAAGTTATGTGACTGGTTATTCTTTGATAGCTTATACAATAACTAGGTAGCATATACAGTGTGGAGATGATGGACAAAAGGATGATTCACAGGGCAGGCAAGGCAAAGCAGGATGGCACAAGATTTAATCATGAAACTCAGAATGGCATGCAGTTTAAAATTTGTGAATTGTTTTTCTGCAATTTTCCATTTAACATGTTTGGACTGAGGTAACTGAAACTGCAGAAAGTGAAACCATGGGTTAGGGAGACCACTGTAAAGTGTTTGGCCCAGGAAGAGTAGAAAAGTATAAACAATAGCCAGAGACCAAGTAATAACCTTTCGAGTTTTCCCTTTCATCAACGTTACATTAGGAATATTAAGTAGATCCACATAAAGAGGATGAGGATTAAGTAGATATATGATGGAACTAGCACTCCCAGAGTTATCAGGTTTGATATGCGTTATGAGAAGTACTTGAAAGCACAAACTCTGATGTATGAAAAAGGGAGAGAGTGAAATGATTGTTACTAATGACATCAGGATGACAAGATGACTGTGAGGTAACTAAACCACGCCTGAAGAAATTTAGGAGCAAACTAGGAAAGGATGCAGAGAATCTGTGAGCAGTCTATAAAGGAGCACACATTGATGGTGCCCCTAAGGCTACTGGCCTGGAGTTGGGAATGATGTTGGTGCTCAGGCAGAATAAGGGGCAGCTCTGGCATGTGAGGAAGATGAGACGTTATTGCAGTTTTAGCAGGGTCTATTTTCAATGAAGATGGAACATCCAGGTAGACTGTCCCATCGGGGAATTCAGTGCTGGGCCGCAATGGGTAGTCAGTGGTTGGAACCACCACCATGGCAGGACCTATGTGGTTGGAGTACAGAGCAGTGGGCCAAGACACACCAAGACTGTGAGACCAGAGTAAGTAAGACTGCCTGGGGAAGGACAGCCACATTTAGGGACTGGGAAAAGGAAGAGATGCAGCAAACTAATGATTAGATAAAAACACATGAACTAACACTACAACAGAATCAGAACTGCTTTGTAAAAAAGGCCCTCCAATAACTTATAATAGAAAAACTATCAATGACTCCCACTTTAAATAACATATTTCAAAGCTATATAAACACTTTTTATACCTTCTCCATATTGATTTCCTCCTCCATTTATGTATAGGGCTAATAAGTAAGGAGTTTAAATTTTCTAGAAGCATGCTAACATGATCATAGCTTATGATGAAAAAAATATAGAAAATTTATGCTATTGATTCCTCTTCAATTTTTACTGTAAATTAGACTAGCTTTACAGAATATCTCCACATGATAAAATGTTTCCAAAGATAAACAGCACTCAAAATGGTTGCTCATGAAGATGCAGGCTAGTCCTAATGTACTTAATGTACTCTATTAGTGTACGTTAGAACTAATTAAGGAAGTTCTTACATTAAACAATAAATTTTAAATAGGTAGTACTTTTACCACAGTATGTAATCTAGGTAACAAATACAGAATAAGTTATATACATAAATATCTAATTGCTTCTGTCTGTAAAAACTAGGTAGGTATTAGTAACATTTCAGACATGTAAAACACAATCTTTTTCCCTATTTTTCTTTTAAGTAGCCTGTAGCCTCACTTCTTTTATTCTACACAAAGCAACCAAATAAGAGACTGGAATAGTACAAGAGAAGAAAACTGAATGGAAAAACAGGAAGAACCCCAATTCTTTCCACACACATACAAAACCTTACCCAGAAGTGGACCTGTGAGAGCATATGTAGTTTTTTAAACTACTTTTGAACAAAATATATACTTTCTGCCTGTTTTATTTTCCTCATAGAACAAAATTCAAAAGATTCTAGAGAAAATATGTAGGAGAGTAAAAAAGGCACATTGAAAATAGGCTGATCAGCTATCATGATTCCCTCTTGGAGTGAGGGTTTTCTTGGAACATAAAACTTACGGTACTAAAATTGAGAAAAGTCCTAGTCAAATCACAATGAATTAGTCACCCTAAATGAAGAAGTAAATTCCAAGAGGAAAAGAGATCTATTCTTCTACTCAAGCTGGCTCTGTTTGGCGAAAAGGAGACTCACAAATTCTACTATTTTCTGTTGTCAAATTACCTGCTGTTTTAATTGTACTTCTTGATGTTTCATTTCTTCATATTTGTGCCTCGATTCTGTTGCTTCTTTTAATAACTGGAAAACAGAAACATTCTGGCAAAATACTAATAGTAATTACATACTTGGCTAAAATGTCAAATGACCAGACACTCACACTTAGATTTTCCTGGCCTTATTTTAGAAAGAGTCACAGGTCAGTGAGTGAAATATCTTATGTGTGATCTGTACCACTTGCTAATATAATTATTTTTCACTTTACTTAAGTTAAACATACATAGTTTAATTTTCCTACGTTAAGTATGGAAGATTTACTATGTCGACAATAATTGTCAGGCAAAATACTCTGAGTATACACTGAGGAGACAGTGCTATATGACTGGCAAACAGAATTCTGTTAAATTTTATCATATAATTATACCAGAGTAAACAAATGGTTTACCTTTTTGCAAGTTACTTATTTAGAAAACAATATAACAGAATGTAGGATAATTATGTTTGGTAAAATTGTTGTGAACTTTAATTGCCTCTAGCTCTCAAGGGATAACTTGCAAATAGCCGCTACAATTTTGAACCTGGTGTTTATTATCTAAAAATGCAGTCAACACTCTACATAAAGAAAAAGTATAACATATGTAGATGTTTCCACTAACTCGGTCTAATTCCAGTATATTTTTCATATGAAAAACATCATCAGAACTAAAAAGACTTCATATATTCTAACATTTCTCAATCTAGAGAGTAAAAAAACCAAACTGCATAATTCAGGTCCTATTTAAAATACTCGATGATTTTAAATGTTTTGAACATCTTTGGTTACAATTTGGTAATAATTTTTTTAAAAAAACAGAACTTACAAACTCTCTCTCTCTCTGATGTTTTTCATCAGCTTCTTTTATGAACTGTGTTGTTTGCTGAAGCTTGGCATCCACAAGCTGCTGTCGCAGTTCCTTATGTTTGAACACTTTATCAACATGCTATAAAATAAAATTTCTTCCATCACTTAATTTAAAAAAGCTACACATTGTGAAGAGATATAAGACAAGTTAAAACAACTTGCTTCCCTATTCTTCATGCTAATACAATCATAACTAATAACATAAACTCATCCACATGCTTCCAGAATTACCTATTTAGATCATCTTGCAAACCATTCTGTACCTGCAGGAATGATCCCATCGGACTACTTACATAGTGCACCTCCCCTGTTGGAGGTGGGCTAACCCCATCAACAGCTTTGTATTTCCTGTTTCTGCTCTACATTAAAAGTTATGCCCAAGCTATCAACAAAAGATGGATAAGGAGATCAAACTATTGAATACATTCTTCATACACATAAATTCATGGATATTTTTTTCTCGTTAAGTTTCTCCAAATTTCTTAGTGCATGTATAACAGTAAGAATGGCCTGGGGTTAAATCCTGGCTCGGTGATGGCTTTGATAAATTTCAATTCCTTTATTTATAAAAACTAGTAAGTACATCTATGTAAAACTGAATGCAATGCTTAAACTATTTAAAATGCTTGGTGCCTGGCACATATTAGACACCTGGTATGAGAATGGGTTGTTATTATTACCAAACTATATTGTTAAGTGGTAGTTATGTAAAATAAAGTGATCAGAATATCCTTCTCAGAAGAGAAATAGTAACTCTTTTAGGAACAATATCCCATATTATATGAAATGCTGGTTGATATAGGTTTTCATGAGTGCACCAAATCTCTTTGATTGCAAATAACTTAATTAGGTCATTCAATTATATTCTACCCCCCAAAAAGAGAAAATTCTGTAACAGTTAAAACAAACATGACGTACAACATGATTTTACATAAACATATACTTTACAAATTCACTATATTAATAGTGTAGACTGTCATTAAATTGTCATTTAATTGTTAAAAAGTAAAAATATTTAACCCATTTCCCATTTAGAATAAAAAAGTGCAGCTCGCTGCCAGCACTAATTTTACAT